TTTGTAGCCCTGCCTGTCCTGGACTAGCTTTGTAGACCAGGCAGGCCACCAACTCACGGAGCTCCTCCTGCCTCTGCCTCTATTGCTGAGATTAAAGGCGTGCTCCTCCACACCCACCCTGCTTTTTTATGTAGGCACTTACAGTTACACACTCCTCTCTTAGGACTCCCTTCTTGTAGCACATAGATTTAGGTTTTCATTATAATTAACTTCCAAAAATTTTTTTAATTTCTTTCTTGATTTCTGCAGTGGCCCATTCATCATTTAATAATGTGTTACTTAATCTCCATGAGTTTGCATATTTTTTCAAGTTTTTATTGCTGATTTCTGGCTTTATCTCATTATGATGAAGAAGAATACAGGATATTGTTTCAGGTTCCCTGTATTGATTGAGACTTGCTCTGTGTGCTGATATGGGAGCTATCTTACAGAAGATTGCAAGAGTTGTTGAGAAGAATGTGTATTCTCCATTGCTCAAGTAGAATGCTTTGTGGATGTTAGTTAGGTTCATCAATTAATTTGATCTATGATATCATTTAATTTTGTTGTTTCTTATTCATTTTGTTTGTGCAGTTGATCTGTCCAACAGTGAGAATGAGGTGTTGCAATCACACACTGTTACTGTTTTGAGGTTAATCTGTGATTGATTGATTTATTGATTTTTGAGATGGGGTCTCTGTGTAGCCCTGGCTGTCCTGGAACTCACTCTCTAGACCACACTAGCCTCAAACTCAGATCTGCCTGCCTCTGCCTCCCGATGATTAAAGGCATGCACCACCACTGCCTGGCTTTCTGTGATTTTAAATCTTGTAGTGTTTGTGTCACAAAACTGGATGAGCCTATGTTTGGCAGGTTTGATGGTGTGAATGAGAAACATCCACAGGTTCATGTTTAACACATTGTTCACGTTAGTGGCTGTTCTTGAGATCATAGAACTTGCCAGAGGAAGCAGTCATTGGGAACAGGTGTGCTCCACTTCCTGCTGTCTCTCTGTGCTTCCTATATGCAGTTGAGATGTGATCTCTCAGCATGCTCCCACCATGCTGTGACTTCCCTGCCATGATGGACTCTATCTCTCTCGAACTATATGCCAAAATAAACCCTTTTGTCTGTAATTTGGCATAATGGGCAGCACAGACAAAGTGGTGTCCATAATTGTCTGACCTGTAACGGGCCACATGGAGTGATTTTTTATGGTGGCATGACTCATACAGACCTTTGGTACTAGCTAATCAGTCGTGATGTTTCTGGGAAAGAAATAGATAACAAACCTACTATCTTTTTGTTTGATCTTTATGAGGAGAAAATTTCTCAGACAAATGAAAGAAACACTACCTTGGTTTGTAGCAAGAGGGTATCTCAGTAAACCAATTTCCAGACTTGAGCCAGTTTGCAAAGCTGGAACTTCATGAATGAAGAGAAGAACAGGTTGCCATTAGGAAAGGACCTTGCTAAAATGTCTCAGGTTTTTCTTGTTAGCCTTTCTCTCACCTTTCTCCTGGGAAGATCTATGGCCTTTCATGAGAGCGACCTTACACTTGGGGAAAGGAGACAGTTAGACCCTCTGGGGTCTTTTGGATACTGGTTCTGAGTTGATACTGATTCCAGGAGACACCAAGGAGCACTGTGGTCTTCCAGTTAAAGTAGGGGCTTATGGAGGTCAGTTTAGTAGAGTTTGGAGCTGAAGTCCAACTCACAGTAGGGCCAGTGGATCCCCAAACTCATTCTGTGGTTACTTCCCCAGCTCCAGAATGTATAATTAGGATAGATGGACTTAAAAGTTGGCAGAATTCCTACAGCTCCCGATGCTTTATCTAGCCCCACTGTTTGGCTTGTGCACAGTCAGCAGTTCTACCACTGTTCTGCCAGAATGGCACATACTGCTTCTATAAAATGACACCTTTCACATACCTCATGGCTTTCTTTAAAAAATGTATTTATTTTCTTATTAATTACAGTTTATTCACTTTGTATCCCAGCTGTAGCTCCCTCCTTCATCCCCTCCCAGTTCCACCCTCCTCCCCTCTTCATGACTTTTTTTGATATGTGTGTCCCTGATGGCCTGACCAGTTCCCTGGGTATTTTTAAAATGAGATTTGAGCCTCTTGATTTACATGATTCTGTGAGGTTTCCCAAATGAAGAGATTAGTGACCAATTTCATAGATCACCTCTGGCCATTTACAAGAAAAATCTGCTTTATCTTCTTAGCCAGTGTCAGAAACTATATATTGAGATTACCAATAAAAAAGATTAACAAATGAGCTGAAAAGATTTCTCAGCAGTTAAGAGCTCATTGAAGGTTTCACAGAAGGAAAACATTACCAGAAGAAACTGAAGAAACATCAACCAATAGCATAGAATGAAATAAATGTAAAGAAAGGTTTGTCTGTATGTTTTTAAAGGAGGAGTCAGAGGCTGAAGAGATGGTCCAGGAGTTAAGAGCACTCAGTTCCCAGCACCTATATGGCGGCTCACAACCACCTGTAATTCCAGTTCCAGGGGATCCAGTGCCCACTTCTGACCCTAGTCACATGGAGTACACGTACTTACATGCAGGCAAAATACAAAGACAGAAAATAATTTGATTTATTGATTGATTATTTTATTATTTATACAGTGCTCTATTTGCATGTACACCTGCATCCCAGAAGAGGGCACTATAGATGGTTGTGAGCCACCATGTGGTTGCTGGGAATTGAACTTTTGGAAAAGTAGCCAGTGCTCTTCACCTCTGAGCCATTTCTCCAGCCCCCACAAAATATTTTTTAAGAAGTGGTCTGGGAGCTGGTCGGTAGTGGTTCATACCTTTAATCCCAGCACCTGGGTCTCTGTGAGTTTGACACCAATCTGGTCTACAGAGCCAGTCCTAGCCAAAGCTACACAAAGAAACCCTGTCTTGAAAAACAAAGTGAAACAAAAAGAGGTGGTCTGGGGAGGTGGTTTAGTTAATAAAGCATTCAGCAGGCAAGTATGCAGACCTGGGTTCAAAACAAGGTGTGGTAGTTTTTGTCTGTAATCCTGTGTATGGAAGGTGGGACACAAGGGAAGGCTGAGCCCTTGAGCTCACTGGCCAGCCAGTCTGCAGAATTGTTGGACTCGAGGTTCAGTGAGAAGCCCAGTCTCAAACAATGAGGTGAAGCGTGAATATGGAAAACACCTGATGCTGATCTCTGGCGTCAGTACACATATATACACATGTGTATGCACGTGTGCCTACATTGTACAATATTACACATACACACAGAGAGACAGACACAGACATGAAGTAAAGAGAAAGACAAATGAGTTGAATGTGTGTGTGTGTGTATGTGTGTAACTACGTATTTATATCTACTCCTCGCCTCTCCCAGAATGCTCGAAGAACCTTTGCTGGCTCCTCTTCAGCCACGTTCTTCTAACACACCTCTATGGGCCTGTCGTCTTCGGAGTTGTGAGGTGAGTTTAAGATAATCCTTACCTAGATTCAGTTAACCAGTCATGGCAACATTTCATTCCCAAATGAACACTTTGACATACAAATAATATAGTCACTATCTGTCATATTCTGTATGCATTTGTGCTAAATCTAGGCTTATCTGCTTGTTGCAGGATATTTGATCCCATTGTGAACCCCAAAACTGTAAACTATGAGACCCTGTTTCTTGTTTTGTATGGTTGAGCCCTGTCACACACCTTTAATCCAAGAACTTCCTGTTTATTGTAAACAGGTGATGATGGTGTTGTTCTTTCAGCCCTAGTACGCCACTTTAATCCAAGAGCTCTCTGTACACGGGATTGAAGAACCCTAGGTCAAGAGGCAGAGCAAGAAACCAGCTGAAGGGGATAAAGAATAGGAGGGACTTTGAGTTAAGGGTATGTAAGACAGCATGGAGAAGAAAGTGCTTTTAGCTCAAGGCTTCAGCACCTCAGCTCCCTGGCTTTTGGGGCTTTGAGGTAGAAGCCTTTGGCCTTGGGGGTTTTTTGACGTCTTCCTTCTGGGCTGTCAGCTGAACTAGTGAGCCTTTTGATTTTTTTCCATCCATACCTGAACTAAGAAGGAAGTCAGCTGGGTGCTTTCTCTACCTCTCTGAGCTAGCAGGTTTTCACCCCAGCATCTGGCTCCTGAGTCTTTATTGGTAAATAGAATGGTTGGGATGTTTAGACAAGCTTTAAACTTAGACAGTCTTTCTTCCTCAGTCTCCCAAGTGCAGGGGTTGTAGGTTCACACTACCATGTCCAAGTCACAGTTAATTCTTTTGAAAGTGGTTAAGGACACTTGTTGCTCTTGCAGAGGACCTGAGTTCAATTCCTAGCACCCACATAGTGGCTAGCAATCATCTGTATTCCAGTTCTGACCCCTCATCTGGCCTTTGTAGGCACTGTGTGTGTCTGTTGCACAGACATATAGACAGGCAAATCACCCGCATACATAAAATAACATAAATAGAATCTCAAAAAAATTCAAGGTTATAAAAAAGAATATTAATATAATGAAGTTCTTCTGCAACATTTTTTAGGACAATAGTCATAGTTTTCATAAGGTTTTAGATAGATTCTTGGGATCATATTTTTAAAAATCCACAAAGAACCAATACTTTGTGGTGATTTTGTGTTGATCTGGATTTGATCTAGGGATGGAATCTTAGATATCCAAGAGAATGGCTATACTACATGTTCTTTGAGCTTTCCTCTCTAAGCTTCCTAGGGCAATGGATCATATATGAACCCGTGCATCTGTTGGGTGACACTGTGGAAGTTTAGATCAGACCCCGCCAGTTGTATGGTCCAGTGGTGAGGACGTGAACCGATGCTTCTTTATTTAGATAACCATCTAGTTAAATTTATTCTTCACTGAAATATTTACCAGTGATTTTCTTATTTAATTTCTCCCTTACAGAAAATCGGAGATTCCTACCGTGGCTACTGTGTCAGTGAGACTGAATTAGAAAGCATCCTGACTTCTCACAAGCAGCAAACACAGAGCGTCTGGGGCACCCGCCAGTCTCCAAGCCCAGCCAAGCCTGCCACGCGCTTGATGTGGAAGTCCCAGTACGTCCCATATGACGGAATCCCATTTGTCAATGCAGGTACTTCTTATCAGCTACTTAAAGGCTCCCCAGCAGCTGGGCACCATTTTCCTGAGAGTGTATTCATTTTGGTAGGTGAGAATTGAATATTGATTGCTGAAAATGAATGTTAAACTAAAAAGAAAACTTATAGCAAATATAACCAGTTGCTTTAAGTTATGTTTTAATGTGTGATACTGAATAAATACTTCACTTGTATAGTATGCTAATAAATAGAACTTTGAAATTCCAAATAGACCTTTAGACAACATCACATAATCAAAAAATAATTCTTTATGAATAGTCACACTAACAGGAATAAATCATCTCTCAGATAAATAGATATATAGACAGACACATAAAATTTCATTGTTTAGATCAGTTTTTGAAGCCAAGTGTGTTCCAAAAAGCCTTGTTTTCTGAGTTTTTTAGTTGTTTTTAAAAAATGAAAAAATCAAAACCATTCTGTTTTACTAGTAAGGACTCAGGAGCTACATGCTGGGGTGAAAATCTGCTAGCTCAGAGAGGCAGAGAAAGTAACCAGCTGACCTTACTTTGAAGTTCAGGTACAGATGGAAAAAACCCAAAAGGCTCACTAGCTCAGCTGACAACCCAGGAGGAAGAGGCCAAAAAACCCAAGGCCCAAGGCTTGCTAGTTCAAAGCCCCAAAAAGCTAGGGAGCTGAGGTACTGAAGCCTAAACTAAAGCCAGAGCTTGAGCTAAAAGCACTTTCTTCTCCATGCTGTCTTAAATACCCTCAACTCAAACTCAACTCCTCTTTAATCCCTGTCAGCTGGTTTCTTGCTCTGCCTCTTGACCTAGGGTTAACTAATTGCTAAATCTTGTGTACAGAAAGCTCTTGGAGTTGAGGTGTGTGCTAGGGCTGGGTGAACCACACCATAATCACCTATTTCTAATTAAAAGTTCTTGGATTAAAGGTGTTTGATAGGGCTTAACCACACAAAACAAGAAACAGGGTTTTGCAGTTCACAGTTTTGGGGTTCACAGTGGGATCAAGTATCCTGCAACATTCAGTTTTTAGATTTTATCACAAAGAATTAATGTGCTCATTTTTACTCCTGTTGGTAATGTTATAAATTTTCTGCAGTCAATCCTTGACATAGTATTTCTAGACTTTAAAAAATATCCAGGTGAGGCTGGGCACAGTTACATATACTTTTAATCCCAGCATTCAGGAAGCAGAGGCAGAGGGAGAGGCAGAAGGATCTCCATGAATTTGAGGCCAGTTTGGTTTACTTAGTGAGTTCCGGGACAACCAAGGCTACACAGACAGACCCTATCTCAAAAATGAAATAAAACAACAGATATATTGGGAGAACACCTTTAGTCTATCACTCTGGAAACAGAGAGAGGAGGATCTCTATGAGTTCAGAGCCAGCCAGGGCTACATATTGGAGCCTGTCTCAAAAAAATAAAAATAAAACAAGATTATGTTATGGGAACTTTTATGTGTATCAACAATAGAGGAAAGAATAAAACAAAACAAAATGAAAAAACGCCTCTATACTTCAGGAATCTATCATGTAGCTTTAACAACTGTCAGTATATGGTTAATCTTGTCTAATCTATATCCTTCCCAACCTATATGACAGCCCAGACATCAAACTTTAAATAATTAATAAAGGGCGGGCATGGTGTTGCAGGACTTTAATCCCAGCATTTGGGGGGCAGAGACCATGGAACTCTGTGTGTTTGAAGCCAGCCTGATTTACAAAGTGAGTCCAGGACAGCCAGGGCTCTGTTACACAGAGACACCCTGTCTCAAAAAACCCAATAATTAATAATAATAGTAATAATAATAGAGAAAGACTTGGTGGCACAGGCCTTCAAACCTACTACATGGAGACAGAAGTAAATGAATAAGCTCAAGGCTAGTCTGGTCTACATGGTGAGCTCCAGGACAGCCAAAGCTTCTTAGTGAATTCTGTCTATAAACAACAACAACAATAATAAAATAAATAATTAATAGTAGTTTATATTAATGTTATAAAGTCTCCAATATTCCCCTTTAAGCAGAGGTCTTACATTTTTATATCAGCCTTATAATTTTATTTATGATTAACAATTTTATTATATATATATTTAAATATTTGAGCTTTTATTTTATGTATATGGATGTGTTACCTGCACACTATATATGAGCAGTGGCCACAGAGGCCAAAAGAGGGCATTGGATCCTCTGGAACTGGAGTTGTAAACAGCTGTGAGCTGCCATGTGGGTGCTGGAAATTGAAGCAGGGTCCTCTAGAAGAGCAGCCAGGGCTATTAGCCACTGAGCCATCTCTCCAGCCCAGTTTTATGTTTTAAAAGTTGACTGTATCTTGCAGTAAAGTAGAATATTCAACTCTTCTGTGGCCTGGTTTTCACATCTCTGTATTTGTAATCTACTGCAATGTAAGAAATTACCCCGAATTGAAGGCTGAGAACTATAGACATATATTGTCTCAGGATTTTAAGTGTAACTTAGCAAGATGTCTCTGCCTCAGGTTCTCACAGAAACTGAGCTTGTAGTGTTGCCTGGACTTGCAGTTACCTTGTGCCTTACTAAGAGAGGAGGTAATTCCAGCCTTGCTTGTTTGGTTGCTTTGTTGTATGAGCCTTTGCAGAGTTTCCTCAGTGTGTGGCAGGCAGCTGATGTCACTTAGACACAGCAATCCAAGTAAAAGCGTAAAAGCAAGAGAGTACCCAAGGTGGAAATTATAGTCTGATAGCCTAATAGTCTTATAACCTAATCACTTCTACAATATTCAGTAAGTTGATAAGTACAGCCCATGCTGAAGGGGAAGAGATACACGAAGAAACAAATAGTAGGAGGCCAGTAGTACTGGTGTTGTCGTAGAGGCAGCTCACCACGCTACTCTAACAAGGCAACCAGAAAGAAGAAAATAAATGATGCTTTAAAAACACAGTAAGAGCCTAAAGAGAAGGGTCATCAGTTACGAGCGTGTGTACTCTTGCAGAGGGTCTGGGTTCTGTTCCTAGCTCCCACTTTGGGCAGTTCATGTCCATCTGTGACCCCAGGTTCATGGGACTCAGCACCCTTGGGCTGTACAGGCACCTGCACACTTGGTGCGCATAAGCTCTTGCAAGCATACACATTCACATAAATAATATTAAAGCTTATTTTAATTTGTTTAAGGAAACTAAGGATTGGAGAGATAGCTCTATATTAGCACTTGTTGGTCTTACAGGGGACCAAGTTCAGTTCCCAGCACCCACATGGTGGCTCACAACCATTAACTCCAGCTCTAGGGGATCAGATGCCTCTTTAAAAAAAAAAAAAAAAAAAAAAAAGATTTATGTATGTATTTAATGTATAGGAGTGCTCTATCTGCATGTACACCTGCATGCCAGAAGAGGGCACCAGGTCTCATTATAGATGGTTGTGAGCCACCACGTGGTTGCTGGGAATTAAACTCAGCCAGTGCTCCTAACCTCTGAGCCATCTCTCCAGCCCCCAGATGACTTTTCTTTGCTATGTGGGCACCAGGCATGAACATGTACACAGACATGCATTCAAGTAAAACTCATATACAGAAAATAGATCTAAAGAAATTTTAAAGGGAAATAAGATTTTCAATAGTATTTACTATTAACCAAATGTAACATTTGCGGTTGCGAATTTCAACTTATAAGGTAGGTCATTTAGTATTGTTAAAAATCGTGTCTCAGCCAGGCAGCGATGGCGCTCTCCATTAATCCCAGCACTCAGGCAGAGGCGGGCAGATCTCTGTCAGTTTGAGGCCAGCCTGGTCTATAGAGTTAGTTCAGGACATCCAGGCCTACACAGAGAAACCCTCTCTTAAAAAACAAAACAAAACAAAACAAAACTATGTCTCTATGTATCAGTGAATGTGAATATGGCATATTTGGTAAATTTTACATAAATTTAAATTTATGTCTATCTTGCATTTTAGTAAGAAATACTAATGTTTTTGCTCCATAACCTTATGTATTTATTGTCACAACAGGGTTTTAAAAAATCCGTCTAGAATATACAAACACATGAATTACTGTTATTGGTTTGTTTTGGTTCACAGGTAGTCGAGCTGTGGTAATGGAGTGTCAGTATGGACCAAGGAGAAAAGGGTTCCAGTTAAAAAAAATCAGTGAACAAGAAAGTAGGTCTTGTCATCTCTACAAAGCTACTTGTCCAGCCAGGTATTTAATGTTTTTTTTTTAATCTTAATTCATTTTCTTTATGCCTAAGTCTTATTTTTGAATAGCAAATAGAAACATTTTTATTAAGTTTAAACGTACAGTGAATTTTTAAGTTTTTCTCTTATTAATGCTTTGTATGTTCCTCACTAAAGCCTGAACTCTTGTTTTTGAGTCATTTTGCAAAGATTTTCTATGTGTGAATATGCATGTATTGGAATACCCACGTATTCTCTTCTGCCCGGGAATGTCGGTACAGCCCACTCATGTTTCCTTCTTAGAGTTAGATGATAGCTCCCCCTTCCCTCCTATGTCTTCTTACCGATGTAGTCTTGATCTGAAAGCCTATAGTGAGTACCCAGTGCACAGACACCGAATTGCTGACTAATGTGCATGTGGCGTGTACTTACTAAACACTGCTGTTCTCATCCTAGTATATTTTCAGAGTGACTTTATATACTTACATGAGTATTTTCTCCTTTCAGTGGCTATGCAATATTCCATTTGTTAAGGACATTAATCCTCTTAGATATGTAAGTTATGAAAAAATTGATCTTTTTGAGATAGAATCTCATGCAGTCCAGGCTAGCCTCGCCCAGATTATGTAGCCAAGGGTAGCGTTGAATTCCTCATCCTCCTGCCTCTGCCTCTTTAGAAATGCTAGGGTTTATGGATGAGTTCCTTGTGTATCCATGTATGTATTACAGTGTACTCATGTCTAGGGACAGATTCTGTTATTTTACCCAAAACCACAATTAATAACCTTGTTAAATATTATGATAACGCCCTACTATGTTAATTGTTATAGAAAACATTATATACTTTGAAAATGTTAACACAATGATTTGCTTTGAAAAGCACATTTATCAGTTTACATTCTCACCAGCAATGAATATCAACAGTAAGTTTTAGGTAGAGAACAAGGTTATCATTGCCCTGGGTGAGGATAAAAATATGAACCATTGGGAAAGATTTTTTTTACCATTGAAAGATATTTTTTGTTGTTGTTTTAGTTTTTGGTTTTTCAAGACAGGGTTTCTTGTGTAGCTTTGGCTGTCCTTGACTTGCTTTGTCAGTCATGCTGGCCTGATCTGCCTGCCTCTGCCTCTCTGAATGCTGGGATTACAGCATTCTTTCATGGCCAGTGAAAGATTTTTTTTTTTTAATGTTATATACTAATACTCTTTAGACATTGAAAATGTTCAAAATTATTAATAAATTGAAATTTTTAAAGAAATTATGGGCTAGGAATAGTCCTGGGCCATCTCAACAGCACTTCAAAAGAGTAAAGTACTATGTGCTGAATATGGTACCCTGCCTGTAATTCCAGATGCTTAAAAGGTTGAGAGGAGAAAATCATTGGAGCTCAGAAGTTTTAGTTCAGCCCAAGCAACAAGGACCCTTTGTCAGACAAAACAAGGATAATCTATTATGGTTGGACTTCACTGATAATTGAAACATTATATTTTAGTACCACATATATCACAAACTTGAGCATTCTCATGTTTTAAAAGACAGGTGTGGAGACTGGAGAGATGGCTCAGTGGTTAAGAGCTCTGGCTGCTCTTGCAAAGGACCTGGGTTTGGTTCCCAGCACCTACATGGTGACATGCAGACATCTGTAACTCCAGTTCCAGGGAATCTGATGTTTCTTGTGACCTCCACAAATCCTGCTCTCATGTAACACACATGCATATACTCAGGCACACACTCATACACATAAAGTACAAAATTTTAGAAGACTGCTGTGATGTGCACACCTGTAATCTCAGCACTTGAAAGGTAAAGAAGTGGCTTTGAGTGCACAAAGACACACACACACAAATAAAATGTAATAAAAAATTTAAGAACCTGGAAAGATGGCACAACACTTAAGAGCACTGACTGATCTTCCTGAGAACTTGGGTTCAATTCCCAGCAGCAACATGGTGGTTCACAGCCATCCATAACTACTTCCAGAGGATGCAGAGTCTTCCTTCGACTTCCACAGCCATATGGTGCACAGACATGCATACAGGCAAAATACCCATATACATAAAACAATAAAATATATATGCATATATGTGTTTAAATTTGGGGTCTTATAAGATATCTAGAATGTTATCAAGAATTTTGTGCTTGATTGTAAATATAGAAATTAATTAATTTGAGGTCATTCAGGTCTACAAAGTGAGTTCCAAGACAGCCAGGACTAAACAGAGAAATCCTGGGGTTGGGGATTTAGCTCAGTGGTAGCAAGTGCAAGGCCCTGGGTTCAATCCTCAGCTCTGGAAATAAAAAATAAAATAAAATGAAATAAACAGAGAAATCCTGTCTCAGAAAAACCAAAAATCCAGGTGCAGTGGCATATGCCTGTAATCTCAGCACTCAGGCAAAGGCAGGTGGATCTCTGTGAGTTCAAGGCAGCCTGGTCTATAAAGCGAGTCTGGACAAGCCAAGGCTACACAGAGAAACCCTGTCTCAAAAAACAAAAAACAAACAAACAAACAAACCACCAGAAAATACAGAGGAATACAAATGTGAGGAATTATTGTGTCTTTTTTTTTTTTTTTTTTTTTTTTAAAGAAACAATCTCTCTTCTGGCTGTCCTGGTACTTTCTAAGTAGATCAGGCTAGCCTTGAACTCACAGAGATACTCCTGTCTAGGATTAAAGGCATGGGTCACCACCAATGACTTAATTATATGTCATTGTTGACCAGGCTGTGATGGAGATTGCCTTTAATTCCAGCACTCAGGAGGCAAAGGCAGGCAGATTTCTATTAGTTTTGAGGCCAGCCTCGTCTACAGGACAAGTTCCAGGACAGCCAATGGTTACATACAGGATCCTTGTCTCAAAAAAAAAAAAAAATGCGAGTAAACTATAATTAATATAAAAAATAAATTAAAAAATATAGTGTTATTGTTGTAGCAGATGTTTTTGTTGTATTTTTTTAATTTTATTTCATTGTTGTGTGAATTTAGATAATGGAAGTTTAAAGGCAGTTAGCCTGGTAGAAGATCCTTAAAGTAAACCAAATGTGAGGTTGGTTTCCAAAACACTGAAGAAGAGGAAATGAACATTTCAGAAAATGTATCTATATTTAGATTTTTATACTCAATTTGTGATAGTTGTTAATTTTGTAAGTATCATGCATTAATATGACATCTTTCATAAGCTTTTGAATACTAATTACTCTCTTGAGCTTTATTGAGGTTAAATATTTGAGATTATAAGCTGCTTCTTTTTCTTGTCTAAAGAATTTACATTAAAAAGGTACAGAAGTTTCCTGAATATAGAGTACCTATAGACCCCCAAATTGACAGGAAGATAATCAGGATGGAACAGGAGAAAGCCTTTACTATGCTGAAGAAGAACTTGCTGGATGCCGGCGGGGTCCTTCGGTATGGCGTTCATGCAACGCTTTCATTTTCTGATTAGTAACAAGCACTCTTGTCACTGTGGTTTTCAGTTCTTTCACTAAGGAATGGTTTTATAAGTTAGATACCTCATGAGTATTAAACTTAGGTGCTATTGTATGTTACTGACTTTATTACCTAAAAATTACATATAATACTAACAATACATTGTTGATTTCTGTGACAGCCATCACAGTGAACATTAAGCCCTAAGTAAATTCCATTTTATGCTTTATATTTTAGATAGAAGGAATGATAGTATTTCTGGCTTACTCTTGTGTGTCAGTTCAAGTGAAGAATTTATTATTGTATAATGAAGTCAAATATAAGAAAAACTTTTGTATGTCTTTTATAAAAACTTAAAAATGAAGTAATAATTAAATTCTTTAATTCTTAAAATGTGCAACTACAAAATTTTTATTAAAAAATATTATTAGAGGCTGGTTTGGTGGTTCTCACCTGTAATCCCAGTACTCAGGGAGGCAGAGGCAGGCAGATCTCTGTGAGTTTAAGGCCAGCCTGGTGTTCAAAGCAAGTCCAGGACAGCCAGGGCTACACAGAGAAACCCTGTCTCGAAAAACAAAACAAACAAAATATGTATATGCATACATATATATATATATATATAATTAGATTATTTTATTTTGTGTTTAAGAGTTTTTGCATGTATGTATGTGTACCATTGCATGTTTGATGCCATTGATGTCTGAAGAGGGCATTGGATGCTGTGGAACTTGAGATAGAGATGGTTGTGAACCACCATGTGAGTGCTGGGAATCAAGCCTGGGTCCTCTGCAAGGGTAACAAGTGAACAAGCGCTTTTAACAGCTGAGTTATCTCAACCTCACACTGGACAAATTTGAATTAGGCTCTATTTTGTTTAAGTTGGTTTATATAAAGCAGAAGTATAGGGGCCAATAAGAGAGCTCAGTGAGTTCAGTCCCCAGGGCCCACATGATAAAAGGAAGGACTGATTCCCTTAAGTTGTTCTCTGGCAATAAGCTGGGGTCAGGTGGAAGGGGAGGAGGACCTCCCCTATCAGTGGACTTAGAGAGGGGCAGGGAGGGGATGCAGGAGGGAGGGTGGGATTGGGCAGTAATGAGAAGGGAGCTACAGCTGTGATACAAAGTGAATAAACTGTAATTAATATTTAAAAATAAACATTTAATTAAAAAAAGAAAAAAGTTGTTCTCTGACCTTTACACTCTGACATACATGTGCACACACATACACAAGTAATAGAATGCATGTAAATTAAAAGGACAGGGGCAGCCGGGCCAGATAGTGCACACCTGTAATCCTAGCAAGGGAGGCAGAGGCAGGCTGATCTCTGAGTTCAAGGCCAGCCTGGTCTACAAGAGTCCAGGTCAGCCAAGACTACACAAAGAAGCCCTGTCTCGAAAACACAAAGCAAACAAACAAAAAAAAGGGCAGGGGCTTGGTGTATTGCTCAGCGATAGAGTACTTTCCTAACCTAGTGCTTAGCCCAAAATTATATCCCCAACAACACAGACATACACACACACACACACACACACACACACACACACACACACTTGTACAAAAATATCTCTTAATCTGGGCATCGTGATGCACACCTTTAATCCCAGCACTCAGGAAGCAGAGGCAGGCAGATCTCCAGAGTTTGAAGCCAGCCTGGTCTACATACCAAGTTCCAGGCCAGCCAGAGCTATACAGTGAAACCCTGTCTCGAAAACAAAACAACAACAAAAAGAAAGGTCAATTAAAACACTGTTGTGCCAGATTGATTTTCCTAGCATCACTCCCTTGCATTACTGTACATGAGATGTGTCCACATTTTAGTTGATTCTCTTACTCCCTGGGCCAGTGGGAGTTGAGAATGCTTTGTTTGTTTGTTTTATGTGCATTAATGTTTTGCCTGCATATATATATGTGTATCTTGTACATGCCTGGTGCCTACATAGGTTAGAAGAGAAGTTTGGATCCCCTGGAGCTGGAGTAGTGTAAGCTACTGTGTGGGTGCTGGGAATTGAAACCCAGTCCTCTGCAAGACCAACAAGTGCTCTTAACTCCTGATCCATCTCTCCACCCTCAAATATGTGTAAATCCCTACTTCGCCTTAACTTTAGGGTCATAGTGAAAGTTTATCAAGTTACCTTTTTAACTGAGCATAAAGTCAATTTAGAAGAGTTGAACATAAGACATTTTAAATTTTATTTCACATGCCATAATCATATATGATTTTTACTTAAAATACTTTCTCTTGTGAATATTAAGTAATTATGATTCCTGCCTTTGTCTACAATTATCAAATAATTTTAATATTTAAATTTTAATAATTCTAAATGTTTTCTCTTATTAGATGGTATGTGCAGTTACCTACACAGCAAGCTCATCAGTATCATGAATTAGAGACTCCTGGTCTCCCTTTGTCACCATCGCCTTTTCCTATGACTTCTCTTGAAGAAGAGGAAACTGTAATCAGAGATGAGAATTGTGCGTTGCCCTCCCGTCTCCATCCACAAGTAGCGCATAAGATTCAGGAATTAGTGTCACAGGGCGTAGGACAAGTGTATGCAGTAAGGAAGCAGCTAAGGTACAGGAGAAGCAGCGTTTCCTTTTACACTTGTTGCTTAAGTGACACACTTAACACTATAGTGCTTCAGAGCCATTTTCCAGGGCGCGTGCTATCGGGAGGGTATGGTGTGTTTCTTCATCTTACCTATTTGTTATTTTCTGCAAATGCTTGGCAAGCTTTCATATACTATGTCTTAATAGAATTCTAAATACACATTTGAGATACTACATCTTGGCAGATTGGACTATTTCTAAATGATTACTTTTATTTTGTATTATATTATACTATACTAATATTATATTGTATTGTATTGTATTGTATTATATTGTATTATATTATATTTTAATAGCAAAGGTACCACCCAGACTGGCCTATAATTAATTACATAGCCCAGGCTGGCTTCCAGTTTTCAGTATTCCTTCTAGCTCAGCCAACCAAGTGTTGGGATTATGGGTGTGAGCTACTATCTCTGTAACAAATTGAATGATATGATATTTCAGAGGGAGTAAAGTTTGTAGAATCAAAAAATTAGAAGCCTAGCTAAGGTACTTATTTTAGATGATTTGAAATGAAATAGAATTTTATTGTATTATAGGGAATGAATATGATCAAAATAGAATATATGCATGTGTGAAGTTCTCAAAGAATTAATTAAAATATTAGATTTTTTAAAAGATAATAAACTACTATAATAATATGTAATGTAACATTCAATTATATATGTTATGTATCACTATAATATTAATTAAACATGTTATCTTGAGTACCATTAAGGTTAGTCCAAAATACTACAAATAAAGTTTCATTAATGAAAAAGTATACAGATTGACCACAATAATAATTATTATAATGAGGCAGTTACTATGTGTGTGCTTCGTATTTGGCCAAATCTTTAAATATAATTACTTCTTAACAGCTTAATAAAGCTAATACATGTATTTCCATTTTTATACATGAGAGAATGGAAATTCAAAGTTGCTAAGCAATTGACTTGAAAGACAGAACTGACACCCAGGGCTGGTTCTACAGCCTGTGTGTGGTGTAGATACCTGGCTCCTTTTGGTTGTTGTGTAGTGAACCCTGAATAACAAAAGGAGGACTTAGAGGAATTTTTTAGATTGGATCGCTCTGTGTAGCCCAGGCTAGACTGGGAGCCACTATGTGGACCAGGCTGTCCTGGTCCCTGCTCCTGGGATCAAAAGTGCACAGCTGAAGCCAGCAGACAAAGCGTTACTTTTTATATAACCTTATGTTTAGAAGTTTTAACTTTTGTTTTTGTTGAAGGGCCTACGGAACAAAGCTAAAACTTAGTAAAGTCATCCACTGTTTACTAAAATTTGGACACTCTACTTACTTCAGATTATTTATCTACATTTTTATTAATTTTTTTCAAGATAGGGGTTCTCTGCATAGCCCTGGCTATCTTGGAACTCAGATCTGCCTGCGAAGTGCTAGAATTAAAGGTGTGTGTCACCACTGCACTGCTGCCTCAGAGTATTTAAGAAGAGGGTCAGTGAGAACAGAAAATATTACAACCTTGTGGTTTTTATCCAGTGAATATCATGCATAAAGTGCACGTGTCAAACTGTGATTTCTGTGTCTATGTTCATATAATTGCGTAGTAAAGTTACCTTTCTTAAAGCAATATCTTACCTCCTTACACTATTCGAACCATCAACTTTCATGTAATAGTAACATGGTGTTTATGTATAAATTGGAAATTGCCCCCTGTTTTCTTACTAAGTAGGTGTATAACTCAGGGCAACTTCAACTTCTGCTCTCTTCAGATCCCTCACCTGGAAAGTGGAGTTGAGACTTACATCTGGTCACATGACTACAAGTAATAGTTAAAGGAAAAACTTGTAGTGTGTTCAAAATTGTGTCTGACATGGTAAATGTTTACAAACATGTTCAAACCGAGGATTGTGGTTCAAGATTAGTGCATGAAAATGTCACAGCTCAGCTGGGAGTGGTGCTGCACGCCTGTAATCCCAGTACTTGGGGAGGCAGAGGCAGATGGATCTCTGTGAGTTCAAGACCAGCCTGGGCTACAAAGTGAGCCTCTGGACAGCCAAGGCTACACAGAGAAACCCTGTTTTGAAAAACAAACAAACAAACAAACAAACAGACAAACAAAAGTCATAGCTTGGAACCAATGGAAATAGCACCTTTAACCCTTTCCTTTAACCTGCATGAATTCTATGTTTTGCTGAATGGAGACAAACCTAAAGTGACTAATATGAGTTACAGAAACACGAATTATACTTTACAAAAGCTGATATTAAAAGAGAACCTTTTTTTCAATCTGTAAGTGTATCATTACAGTTATATTTCTATTTTATATCTTCCACAGAAAATTTGTGGAAAGAGAACTGTTCAAACCGGATGAGGTACCTGAAAGACATAATTTATCTTTTTTTCCAACTGTGAATGATATAAAAAATCATATCCATGAGGTACAGAAATCCTTGAGGACTGGAGATGTGCTGTATAACGCAGAGATTATTCCAGCAACGGTACGAGCACACCCACCGTTTGTTTCATTGTCTTTCCCAGCTCCCGCTAGTACACTAGTACGTTAGGGAGGCGCCAGCTCCTGTTAGGGCTTGGCCTGTAGAAAGGGCTGCCACTACACCATCTCAATTACGGTGACTCAAGAGAACACAGATCGCTTTCCAAATATGAATGCTACAAGCTCTCAGATGATGACCTGACTGAATATTTCCTCTCACAAGGAAAGGAAACAGTAGCTTTCCAGATCTGAGTAGATCATAGAAGAATCAGACTTTTCCTCTTTGTGAGAGCTATTTCTTACTCAGCTCACAGACATTTATTGAGAACACACTGAGTATATCCTTTCCTCCATTTCAAAAAATAGATGGTCAAAGTTAAGTCGTTCAAGTTCAAGTGCACAGAGTGCTGATGTGAGCTCTCTATGCCATACATGAATATCAGTTTTACCTCATCTTTTTATGTTGTAGTTTCCCTGTCAATGTTAGTAATTTCTGAGGCAGTTTTACCGTAATTATGCAGAAGTTAGTAACTGTATGAATAGTGATTTTGGAATTAAAATGAGTAGTACTGACCTTTCCTTCCTGACTTTTCACTTTCCAAGTTTTAGTATCTGAACACTTTCTATTTTTACTTACTTTTTAATGTATGTGGATGTTTTGCTTGCATGCGTGGGTCCCATGGAGGCTGGAAGAGGGTGTTGGATCCCCTAGATCTGGGGTTATTGATGGTTGTGAGCCACCGGGTAGGTTCTGGGAATTGAACACAGATCTTCTGGGAGATCAGTTGGTGCTCTTAACTGCTGAGCCATCTTCCCAGCACTAGTACTTGGATATTTCAAATGCTAGAACTACTTGGGTGGTGCTTCTTTGTTTGTTCTATATCTAAACTCTTAATTATTGCTGTCCAGAATTCAAGAAAACAGATTTGCCACCTGCACTTTCTATAAATTGTTGGTATCTGAACAAGGACCCCAACATAGTGAGACACACTTGAGCTTTGAGAACGTAACAAGAGGGTGATCACAGAGTAAAGCACAAGTGTGAAAATAAAACAGGAGGCTGAGGAAAGAGCTCCTTCCCAAATATGATGGTCTAAGTGTGATTCCTCAGAGCCATGTAAAAATGCTGACATGCCTGTTGTGAATTTATAATCCTAGAGCTCGGAAGGTAAACACAGGAGTGGAGCTGGCGACAGTCATACCAGCCAACGAGCTGGCAGTGAGCTCCAGGCCAATGCAGGAGTCCATCTCAAAGGAAGTGGACTCAGTCTTTCTTCTGACATCCATATGCATGCACCCACACATGCAGGCATTCACGTGGATGACCTGACTATGCTGGATTTGTCAGAACCAGCGTGATAGAAAGAGAGGACTGATTTCCAAAAGATTTTCATACACTAAGGCATGTGTGTGCACATAAACACACACACATGCACACAAAATAAGTAAATAAAAGCAAACTTTTAAAAGAAAATATAATAGTTGTATTAATGTTTTAAGATTATTTTCAATGCAACTATTTTGTTTTTACTGAAACAAATGTTCTCATTTCAGCTTCAATGGACTACAGACAGCGGGAATATTCTTAGAGAGACTGTAACAGTTACATTTGCAGAAGGTAGGTTATTTTAATTTTTTTGTTTTGTTTTTCAAAACAAGGTTCTCTGGGTAGCCTTGGCTGTGCTACAGCTCTCTCTCTCTCTCTGTAGATGAGGCTGGCCTCGAACTCAGAGATCCTCCTTCCTCTGCTTCCCAAGTGCAATTAAAGGCGTGTATTGCTACCATATATCTCATATGTTCTTGACTCCTATGTTCTTGAAATATTCAAAGTTTCTTTTATTTGTTTTTACTTACTCTTTTACATGTGTTCTATCTCCTGGAAATGGCTGCTTTCTTCTTCTGTCTAGAAAATCCTCTTCTCAGTCAGAACAGTCTCTGGTTTTGAGTGTTTTTCAAACCTCATCTCTGCACCTGCTGTGGTAGGCTGCTGTTTACACGTTTGAGGCTTTAATTGTTATTAACACTCTTCAGGGGCAGGGATCATAGTTAAGCAAACCAAGTTCCTAGGATAGTGTCTGCTAAAGCATTAACATCATAATAATTGCTCTAGAATCAACTTATGAACAACTGTATACAAAGTATGTTTGCTGCCATGTATTAACCTCTAAAAGTCACTTCAAGGGCTGGTGTTAGCTCTTGTTATCACCTGTGTGTTTTATTTTAATAAGTTGCTGTGCTAAGTGCGGGCAAGTTCCTACTTCATGGACTTAAAGTCTAGCAAAGAAAAAAAAACTCCCAGCAAATGCCTTCTAATCAGTTGTTACTGTGAAAAGTGCCACGTGAGAATTGCTCACAATTAAGTGGGAAGTTTGCTAAAGACACACACTTAGGTGAGGGGTGGGGAAGGAACTTTTAAAAATGTCACTTTTGGATCTAGAGAAGTAGTTCAGTGGTTAAGAGCACTCATTGCTCTTTCAGAAGACCTGCTTCAATTTCCAGCACCCACAGCTGTCTGTAACCCCAGTTCCAGAGGATCCAATGCTCTCTTCTGGCCTCTGTGTGCAGTGCACATATGTGGTACTCAGGCAACACATAAAAGAAAAACGCAAACATTTTAAAGTATATATAAAATACAATTTTTAATCATAAAATTTAAAATTTATAAGCCTGACACCAAAATGTAATGTAAGATCTCTATTTAAAGGGACATTGGAGACTTATGGGAAATGCACTTGTAAGAAAGTTCCTGGAGCCTGGTGCTGGTGGTCCATGCCTTAATCCCAGCACTTGGAAGGTAGAGGCAGGGGAATATATGAATTTGAGGCTAGCTTGGTCTACAGAGGGAGCAGCAGGACAGCCACAGCTGCACAGAGAAACCCTGTCTGAAAACAACACAAAACAAGTTTGGAATTAAAACTGGATTATTTATTCTTATGAACATATGTATTTGCATATTCCTGACAACAAGTAATGAAAAAGAGATCGTGAATTTGAAAGGGAGCCAATTCTGGCCTATACAGGTTTGGAGAGAGGAAAGAGAAAGAGGAAATCAACTATTTTGTAATTTTCAAAAAAGAAACAATTTTTACAAATGGACTAATAAAAAAATGCAGCACTTTGCTGTGCCAGTGAAAAAGATGACAGTGGTTTAAACTACAGTTGAAAACATACAGTCTAAAATTAGACACACTTAATAGTTTATTAATTAAATAGATATAGAAGGTAAAATAGCTGGAGTTGTCTAGTAGAAGCCTTTGTAATTGAGAAGCTCAAGAGTTTTCACATATCTAGAGAAGTTTAGGTATAGTCTTGTCTTATAACATAGGAATGGACTAGGAAAAAACATCCCTAGATCTCATTCTAGGGTACTGAATTAAAATGTTGATGAGATGACTTAGCCAGTAAAGACATTTGCTGCCAAGTCTGAAAACCTGAATAAAATTAATGGAAATTAAGGACTGCGTTGTTACACAGTGTAGAGCAATAACCTAACTTGCACAGGTCCTGGTTTAGTCCCCATCACAGAAAGAGAAGCAAAGGAAGGAAGGAAGGAGGGAGGGAAGGAGGGAGGGAGGGAGGGAGGAAGAAGGAAGGATAGGAAGGAAAGGAGGGAGGGAGGGAGGAAGGAAGGAAGGAAGGAAGGAAGGAAGGAAGGAAGGAAGGAAGGAAGGAAGGAAGGAAGGAGGGAATCCTTTTGCTTTCTGTTGCTGTGATAATCACCATGACTAAAAGCAACTGGGGAGGAAAGGGTTTATTTCCTCCAACAACTCCCATCTCCTAGGCCATGGTCCCTCACTGAGGGAAATCAGGGTGAGAACGGAAGCACAGACTATAGAGGTACTCTGATTACAGATTTGCTCTTTATAGCTTGTTCCTTTACCTTGGCTTTTTATGCAACTCTGAACTACCTGCCCAGTGGTGGTCCAGCCCACATGTGCTGGGCCTTCCCACATCAATCACTAATCCAGAACCTCATCCACAGATATTCCTAAAGGCCAGTTGTATGGAGGCATGTTCTCAGTTGAAGTTCCCTCTTCTCAGATGACTCAGTTTGTGTCAAGTTGTCAAAAAAAAAAAAAAAAAAAAAAAAAAAAAAAAAAAAAAAAAAAAAAAACCAACAAAACAAAACCAGGACAGAAAGGAAGGGTTGGAAGGAAGAAATGGAACAAAGGTTGGATCTAGATCTGTATTTTTAGAGTTCCCTTGGAAGATCTGATGAGCTGACAGGTTCTAGACAGTGAAGTAGATACCGGGTCTATTTGTGGGTATGTGTCTGTGTCTATCTGTGTATTTTGTTTTTTGCTTCTTTGCTGTTATTTTGAAACAGGGTCTCATTCTGTTCCTGGGCTTGTCTGGAATATTTTAAACTGGCCTCAAACTCATGATATTCCTCCTTTGTTAGCCTCAAAAGTGCTAGGAATTACAAGCATGAGGCACCATACCAGCCTAGCTTGGAGTTATGCATGATTAATTAGTTAATCAACTGATTATTAATTAATTAACTAACTGATTGGTTTTGAAGTTGGACCTCACTATGTAGCCATGTCTGGCCTGTAACCCACTATGTAGACCAGGCTGGCCTCATACTCAACAGAGCTGTGCCTGCCTCTTCCTTTTATGTGCCACCATACCTGGCTATGTGTTTGTTTTTTAAGTGATGTTTGTTTGTTTATAACAAGTAGCCCAGGCTATCCTCAAACTCACTTCTCTGGCCAAGAATTACCTTGCACTACTGATCTTCCTGTGTCCACCTCTAGAGTTCAGGGACTATATGCATTTGCCACCCTTGCCTATCTCACTGATGATTTCTTTTTTAAGTCTTTTGCAAACCTTTGACTTTGTCTTGTCCTCTATTCTGATTCTAATAGTAATGACTGTCATAAAGTCCAAAAAATTATCTTGTCTGTCTCTTGTTTAATTTAGGAAATTCACTAGGAGAACCAATTTCAAGCAAAGTGGGGACAAGTCAGACACAGACTTCTTTGTCTCCAGAGGCACTTCCCTTGCTCTCCCCACTTTCTTCATTTCAGCCCCAAATATTTACACACTTACAGGTATGTACCTATTAAACAGCTAAATCTGGCAGTCTTCTTTTTTTCCCATGATTCCTTTTGTAGGGATTTCAGAGAATTCTGTAAAATTACAATAATGGCCATATATTCTTTCATTATTAATTTTTCAGTCCTTTGTGTCAAGGTGTAAAGTGATAACTCAGTATGTTTTGAAAAGTTTGAGGGAGACTATAAATGAAGGAAATAATTGTTGTACTACCTTTTCGTTGGTCCTTGTTTCTGTGTTCATGGAATATCTGTTAATAATTACATACTTATTACTTTTTGTTTCATTTTTTTCAAAAGACTATACTACAAGAATGTAATATATATTGTAAATCCAAACATTGTGATATAACTCTTTTCTCTTTAGAAGAGTTTGAAGTTACAGCCAAGATTCTCCTCTCCTGATGGCTCACAGGCTCTGATGTCAGTAAATAGCCATCCCTCCCCCAGTCCTTCAGGACTCGTGGATACAGTAGGGAATGCTGTCGTGAATGATCATCCTCTATTGCTTGGTCAAAGTGAAAGCCTTCCAACAGATATGTGCCTAACCCAAAACAATAGCTCTGCCTCTACCGTGGGGGATCTCCCAGAATCAGTTCAGAATATAGTTGCAATGGATCATCTGGTCGAAGGAGAAGATGCTCAGGTTGCGGGGAATCTGGAAGGAAGTATGAACAGGATTCTGTTGGGAGATGTGCAGACCGTTCCAATACGCATCATAGACAGCCATGCAGCTCTTAGTAAGTGAGCATCAACGTATGATCCTTTTTAACTTACCTTTTATAGGTGGTCTACATCAAACAACAGGAAAAAAAGAGTCATTTCTACCCAGTGGGTTTATAATAGTGTGTAGTTCAAACAAAATTATGAGAGAAAAATAGAGATTTACCAGCTTAATATTTTTCTTATTATGTGTAATTATTTAATCTCAATGAAATTATTCATTTATTTATCCCAGCACTTACAGGCTTAGGCAGACCGATTGCAAGATCGGACAGCCTGGGCTACAAAACAAGTCCCAAACTAACGTGAGCAACTTAGCAAGATCCTATGTCAAGATAGAAAGAAGGGTGGGGTGGTAGAGTGCTTCACTGCTCAGCAGGCCCTAAAAACTGGGTTCAGTCCCCAGCACATACAGAAGAAAGAAAGAGGATGAGGAGGAAATTACTCATTTCTCTTAAATTAATTAATTAAAGGTCTCATAATGTAGTTTGGCTGTCCTGGAACTTCCTATGTAGACAAGGCTTGTCTTGGTCACCTGCCTGCCTCTGTCTCAAGTTTGGAATTAAGGCATGTGCTGCCACCATCCAGTTAGATTTATTTACTTTATTATGCATATGATTGCTTTGCCTGTGTGTATTGATGTACCAGGGAGGGAAGAAGAGGGTTCTTCTAGAGCTGAAATTACAGATGGTTGTGAACTACCATATGGATGCTGAGAACTGAACCCAGCTCCTCCACATGAACAATACGCACTCTTAACCTCTGAGTGGTCTCCTCAGCACCGTAACTCCTCATTTCTTTCTTTCTTTCTTTCTTTTTGGAGAGGGGGTTTCAAGACAGGGTTTCTCTGTTTCTCTGTGTAGCCTTGGCTGCACTGGACTTGCTTTGTAGACAGGCTGGCCTCAAACTTACAGAGATCCACCTGCCTCTGCCTCCCCAAGTTCTGGGGCCACTGTGCCCAGCATGACTCATTTCTTAATTATCTACTTTTCCATGGAAAATCTATGGTGATATAAAACCAGGAAAGTAATTTTAGGATACATAAAAAACAAATGATGTAAGGAAAACTACTATCCAAATATTATAAAAAAAAGTTCATACATGCACAGAAAAAGGATGGAAATAAGTAGTAGATAAATGATTTAATAATAAAAAGTTGAATTATACACTTAAATATTGAGTTCTATGGATATTTACGAAAAGAGTAAAATTTGGGCACATGAGTTCCTTCAAAGACCTTTTGGTTACCCTTTTTGATAACCAGCTGTTGTAGAAAATAAAAATGACTAATAATGCATATTATTAAAACCTGTAAATATTACTCGGATCTCTGTGAGTTCAAGTCCAGCTGGGTCTGCAAAGCTAGTTCCAGGATAGCCAGGGCTACACAGAGAAATCCTGTCTTGAGAACAAAACAAAACAAAATCAGAAATTTATTAGAGAATTTTATAACTATGGAGTAACTTTATAGATGAAAAGAAAAATGAATATATGTCAATGTATTGGTATAACTCCATGAGAAAGTTAGCTATATTCCCATTCTGCAGATGGGAAAACCAAGGCTCAGGGAGGTTAAGTAACTGCCTAATGCTCATGTTTAGAGTAAGTGATGGAGGAAGGAACTAAGCCCTGGTATTTCTTACCTTCTAGAGCTTTCTTCCTTTTTTGTTTTTTGGTTGTTGTTCTTTGGTTTTTGGGTTGTTTGTTTGAGATGGAGTTTCTCTGTGTAGCCTTGGCTGTCCTGGACTCACTTTGTAGACCAGGCTGGCCTCGAACTCACAGAGATCCACCTGCCTCTGCCTCCCTGAGTGCTGAGATTACAGGAGTGCCCCACAGTGCCCAGCTGCTTTCTTCCTTTCTAACATGCTTTCACCTTCTGTGTTGTCACATAGAGTTTCTGGGAGCATTAATCCAAATTGCTTTCAGTGAAGCCCTTTTTAATCCAGATCTGTATGTTTTACCTAGTAAGGGTCAGTTGACCCAGATATGAGCTCTTGGGTCATTCACATCCATCTTCAGTGGGTCCCATGCCTCTGAGCTCCAGTATACCTGTATGTCACAGTATTTGGTGTGTTCAGCACGTTGCTAAGCTAGTCAGTCCCTCTACTTCCTGCTTCCCAAGAGCAACTGCATCATGGAGATTCTTGATAATGTATGGTGAATGTTTGAGGTCTCATGTGGTGGTACATGCCTTTAATCTCAGCACTCCATCTCTGAGCTCAAGACCAGCATGGTCTACATAATGAGACCCTGTCTCAAAAACAAAACAAACAAAAAGATGAAGATGCTAGGCAGTGCACTGGCCAGCTGCTGGTGTTGCTGTTGCTGTGCTGGGTGATAAGCACAATGGAGGGTGCTTAGGCATTCTGGAGTGTTTTAGATGGGCAAACGCATAGTTCACACAGCTAAGATAAAGCTGTCATCTTAAGATGTGCCAAAACATTTTTCTCCATGTTACCATGACCCTTTTTTTTAAACTGCAGTATATTTACATTATATACATAATGTAATATAATATAATTTATATGTAAAATAATATAATAGATAAAGTCTCAGGTCAGCCTTGAGTTGGCTATGTCACTAAGGGTGGCCTTGATCTCCTGACCTTACTCCATTGCTCTAGTGCTGTGACTAGCTTTAAGTTTATATCATTTAAAGACCACAGTGTTATAAAATATACTAACCCTTTTGTTTGTTTGTTTGTTTGATTTTAAAGTTGAAGAAAGTCTAGAAGATACTCTGTCTGTGAACCAAGTTAAACAAGAACCCAAAGAGCCAACACTGTCTATAGCAGCAAAAACTTTTCTGGACTGTAAAAAATTATCTGCCACATAAATTTTTAAAAAGCTCTGGTCCCTTCTGATGTCTTAGGTGAAGATTGTCAGAGCATGTCAGTTGCTGGACCGGAACTGGATGATGAGCAGCTTTGCCTTACACTCGAATGCGTGTTGCCAGTTCCATATTTGTACCCCCTTAGGAAATATTTTACTTTACTTTGTATTCATAGAACTTTTTTATTATCCAGTAAGGCAAGTGTTTCAAAAGATCATCTGAACTTATCATCAGTAATTTAGTGTGAACACAAAATAGTTACCTCGTCCCTGATACCCAGTTTTGGTTCTTACAAGATAAAAAAAAAAAGCCAACAATAAAAGCAGTGTGTGAGTGCATGTGTAGGTGTGTCAGAAAATTTAAAGTTGTGACCAGAATTTTGATGAGCTGAGAGAATATGTCTCATCCTTTGGAAAGATAGTTTTATATGGTAACACAGAACCGCCAGTCACATCCCTATAGATTTACATAATGGAACAGAGCACCAATCACGTCCCTATAGATTTACATAATGGAGCAGAGCACCAATCACATCCCTATACATTTACATAGTGGAACAGAGCACCAATCACATCTCTATAGATTTACATACTAGCTCAGAGCCACCAGTCACACCCCTACAGATTCACAAAGCAGCACAGAGCTGCTTTGTGTCACATTCCTAGACGCTGAATTTGCAGTTTGCCTTGTAGGCTTTATACTGTTTAACTGTAAAGGTCATCTGTCAGAAATCTCGGTGACTTGGTAAGTATTGAAAGGTTTAAGTCGAATTAATCAAATTAATACAAATAAATATATACGACTTGTATTTTATATGGGATTGGAAATAAATCCCCATTTAGGAACAGAAAGGTGAAAATTCAGAGAATGGAGGGCAACATTAGAATTCCCTGCTGTTTACAGATCATTTGGGGAAACTTTTGGTGGTAGCAGAATTTTTTTTTCAAAGATTCAGTTTTGACTATTTAAAAATAATTTAAATAGTATTTACATTTTTCTATACCAGAGTTCTTACTGAATTGATAGGATTATGATTTATATATTTCAAGTTTATCTAATTTAAAATTTAGTTCATATTTGAAACTTGAGAATGTCTGATCTAATATTTGCTCATTAAATAAGTAGATTTATACTTAGTATAAATAACTAGTAATCAGTATATTCATTTATAAGCTTTTTTATGAAATATTGACTAGCTAGGAATTTGAAATATAACTGTCATTAAATTAACCTACCTGAATGTAGTGATGCTCCCCTGTAATCTCAGCACTCAGGAGGGAGAGGCAAGAGGATGGTAAATTTAAGTCTAGCCTGGCCTACATAGCAAGATCTTACCAAGAAACAAAGAGGGGATCATCTAGAAGATTTTTTTTTTTTCTGGAGACTCATTTGTGAATGTATTTAAATTTTTATTTTTAAAAACAAGCATTTCAGCTGGGTGTGGTGGCACACACCTGTAATCCCAGCACTCCGAGGCAGAAGCAGGCAAATCTCTGAGTTTGGGGCTAGCCTGGTGTACAGAGTGAGTTCCAGGACAGCCAGGGCTGTTAAGCAGAGAAACCCTGTCTTGAAAAAAAAGAAAGGAAGGAAGAAAAATTAAAAATAAGAATTTCATGTGGATATTAAAGTTTAATATCCAAAGCATGAACAATATAATAAGATATTTGACCTTAATACTTTGCATGGATATCCATCACTTTTGCCTTTCTTAAATCTAATCTCCCATTATTATTTACTTTGTTTCAGGTACATGACCTATATCTAAATATACAGCACTGTTATTTTTAAAGTAGGTGGAACTCTAAAATTCATTATCTTTACACCTATATTCTGGACAACATAAAATTTATTATTTATATCTTATTTAATGTAAAGTTCATATCTAAATATATGTATGATTGTTAGTAAGAACTGCTTCTCTTTTTCTTAAGAACTGAAGATATCTGGTTCCAGTATTTACAGAGGCAGGCTGCTAAATCTGAGTATGTTATAATAAGTTTAACATAATTCATAGTCACTTTAAAACCCAAGTTCTCTTAGTCTCTGTGTACTTAAGAGAAATGAGATCAAAGCTGGGCTTACTGGCACACGCCTATAATTCCAGCACTCAGGGAGGCAGAGGCAGGCAGATCTCTGTGAGTTAAAGGCCAACCTGGTCTTCAGAGCTAGTCCAGGACAGCCAAGACTACACGGAGAAACCCTGAAGAAAGAAGGGGAGGAAGAGTTCAAATTATTATGGCATTTAGAACTCTGTTATAGGTAATGCTCTTTTGTTATCCTTGTCAAAGAAACTGTTTCTTGAGGACTAATAGGTTTTCACCTTCCAATAATAATTAAGGTTAGTTATTAAATATTTCACTCATTTAGCTGTATTCTTTAGGAAACATTCCTTTTTTATGTTGACTTGCTAAGGAGAAATGCTTATTAAGAAATAAACTAGCCTGTTTCCTCTGAGGATGAAAAATAGCAGAGGATTCAGTATTTAATAATTTAATCAGGAACAAACATAGTGAAAATGTATTTCTGTCACTTTATTCTGAGGGGCCTAATGGCAGACACCTTTAATCCCAGTGGATCGCTGAGTGCAAGGCCAGCCTGCTATACAAAGAAAGTTCCACAACAGCCTGTAATGTAATAAGACCCTGACCTGGGGGGAAAAAAATAAAAAGTATACTTATGTCAGTTCATTCAATAGGAATGGGTCTTATGTTAATATTTTTTATCATGAGTTCAAAAAGTTATACATATTCTTTCCACAAACAAAAGTAAAACAGAAAACTGAACACTTAAATTCGTAATTGTATATTCTTGTTTTTTAGGAAGAAACTGAAAGTGTTAATATTTTGTGTATTTAAATGAGTAGTTAGTTTTTCAGAAATGTTATCTAAATGGGTTTTAAAATTCGTTTGTCTTCTAAACTCGTGTAGTGTGACATGTCAGTGTTGGAAAGGTGCTTAGCATCAATTTTTGAAAATTATGTTTACATATTTAAGCGTTTAATTCTTTCTAAATGAACCTGTTCTTAAACACAAGTGTATAGAGATTTTAGTATCTGTATTTGGCGTTCTCTTCAGAACTCCGCAGCAAAATTTGACAAACCTTGTTTGGTTTGTGTATTACAAGATGTGGTGTCTGTCGTGGGAAGCTGCACATTTAAAACAAGCAGTTAGGATTTCATAATCACAGCTTGCCTTGTTTCTTAGTTGTTTCCATGTTTCAAACCTCCAAGTAAACTGTACATACACCAGTCAATTATAGATAAACAGCCACGGTAGACTTTTCCCTCAGTAACTTCCTGTGTGAGCAGCCAGTGTACTTAAAAAGCTTTGACATCTTGTGCAGGGAAGGTAGGAAACAGAAGCTTTGGAATGGGCTCCTGAAGCTGGTAATGTCGAGGCCGACCAGCTGTGCTCCTCCTCCTTCACCTCTGTGAGACTCTCTGCTTAATCATGTGCATATGAGACCGTGTTTAATTCATGCTAGGTTTTTAAAGAGATTTTAAAATATGTGTACATATTGTAACTTTGATGTACAGTCTTCTTGTTATAATGTAATTTTTTTCATTAAAAATTCTGCATTTTTTAATGTGTTAGTTTTTTAAAATATGTTCTTCTTGGAGATAATGAAAGTTTTGTTTGTCTTAAATAAGATAGTGATAAATGCTTCAGTACCTGAGAATCTTGACTAGAAATTTATGGCTATTTGTTTTGTTTCATTTTAGGTTTTTCAAGACAAGGTTTCTCTGTGTAGCCTTGGCTGTCCTGAAACTTGCTCTGTAGATCAGGCTGGCCTCAAACTCAAAAGAGATCTGCCTGCCTCTGCCTCCTGAGTGCTGGGATTACAGGTATATGCCACCTCGCCCAGTTAAGCCTAATAGTTTTTTTAGAATTAACTACTACTATTAGCATATACATTTATGTTATGTGTGTGTGTGTGTGTGATGGCTTGATGAGTAAAGGTTCAAGTGTGATGACCTGAGTTCAATCCCCCAAAGCATATTTAAAGGCAGAAGATTACCAACTCCACAAAGTTGTCCTCTGAGCTCCACACATATATGCCCACACAGTAATAATTTACAAAACAAAACTGTAAAGGCTAGCAATATGGCTCAGCACACAAAGCCACTTGCCATTAAGCCTGATGACAGGCTTAGGTTTCCTGGATCCACACAGGAGAGTACTGACCGCTTCAGGTTGTCCTCTGACTACCTATAGCCACGCATGATGTGGGTCTTAGGCACCTACATACACGGGTAATGAATAAATAAATGTTACCAAAACTTAACAACATGTATGAAAAGATACAAGTAATGTTTTGGCTCTGCATTTGGTACAGTGATATTTTCAAGTACTGCTTCATATGTTTGGAGTAATATCAGAATTATATGATTGAAAGAGGAAGAAAGATCATCAACCTTTCCCCCTCTTTTTTGATTTTTCTACCCTGTCTTACCTTTAGAACAAGATAAAACCCTGGGCTAGGGAGAGGGGTCTCAGTTGATCAAGTCCTTGCCATAAGTGTGAGGAGTGAAGTTCAGCTCCTATTCCCCACATAAACACACACACACGATACGTACAATAATAAATTAATTTGAAGAAACAAGACGAAGAAAATCTGATAGCATGCATAAAAGGCAACGATGCTGGGGTGGGGCGTCTGAGCCGGAAGTGATGACTAAGGAGGAGTCACCTGTAGAGGAACACGGGGTAGCTCTGAGGCAGGCAGGGCAGTGGGCAGGAGAGAGGGCCAGCTAACCTGAGTTTGTCCAGAGAGCTTGCTGAGCGTTTCTAGGTCTTATTTCCACCTTCCCTGAGGCGCCTTCAAGACATGTTGAAAGCTCCAGATACCAGCTCAGAAAGTTGTCTGGGCGGTGTGTGGCCTGATGAACTGAGGAATTCTGTGTTCAAGGAGCGCCTGAGCCACCACATCCGCTGTTTCCCTGGAGGTGGCAAAAGGCTCAATCCAGCCTGTAAAAAGTGTCAACAAGGATAGGGAGACAGCGAGCCACGTGGCCCTATGAGCATGCGTGGCCCTGTGGGTAAAGTCAGTCTGCCAGTCCTTGCCCGGTTGTTGCCCTCAGCTGGTGCAGCGACTGGCGTATCTGGAGAGTCCTCCGCGGGCTGGTCTTGGCACAGGTTTGGCAGGAAGCGTGGACCTCTGAAATGTGAGCTCGGAGGTCAGTGGGATCGAAAAGAGGCTTTAGAAATCTTGGGTCCGATGTGCAGGCTCACATGGAAGAGCATGTGCCCCATGGGTCTGGAACCGCTAGAAAACCAAGCCCCAGGCTACTGAGTCAGCTCTGGCATTACCCAGAGCCACTGGGTCCACGAAGGTCTAAAGCCCCCGGCAGTGAATTATGGCTACCTCTGCTGGGAGGTGGAGACCCTCCAAAAGTTTGGCTCTCAGGGGGCCGTTGGCGGTGGGAGTGCGCTTGGTGGGGAGAAAGCATAACGAGAAATCGGGCAGTATCGATGTTAGCCTGCTGGTCCTCGGCTAGTTGGAGCGGTCTTCCGCGAGGAGGGCCCCGCTGGAGGCGGTTTGCCTCAGCTGCTTTAGTGGCGATGACCGCAGCTGCTTGGGGTTTCCCCATCTATGAGAGCGCTCCCACCCACAAAGAGGATGAGTTGAGGCTCCATAAGGCTGGTCTGGAAGAGCAGGCCGGTCTAAGCGCTGGGCCTCCGCAGCCTTTGGGCAGGAGTGTGAGGAGGTATTGGAGGGGGATTGGATGGGGAAGGACTGGGGGTTTGAGACAAAGGCTTGGACCTATGAGGGTCCTAGGAGGGAGGCAGAGGAGTGACTCAGAAGGTCCAAGGGGCAATGTTTCCCAGGTGAGTTCCCTGCCGTTGCTAGGGCTCTCAGACACAGCTGCCATCCCATGAGGTGGGAAGGAGCCTTTAGGATAGGAAGGCTTCAGCCCGACGGGAGGGCCCAACCACTGAACTGAAACACCTGTGGCCGCCCCCACACTCCCTTCTGGAAAGAGGCGGGAGGGGCAGATGACGGCTGGGAGTGCCAGGCAGGGCCTGTAAGAGGGCATCCC